CAATCGCCTGCGGGGGGCCAGAAAGGGTTGAAATTATAAGGAGAGAATGAGTGAAGACTGAAGAGCAATGGCAGGGTGGAGAGGTGAGCCGAGGCCTGGGAGGGGGCGGGGGAGCTTTGGGGAGGGGGGGGGGCGATTAGAAAAACTGGGCTGCACTTTTATTGAACTTTTCTGGAAAGAAAAGACAATTGAGCGACACACACATAAAACAAGGTGGGAAGGCTTGGGAAAAGGGGCTTATTTTCTTTCTCAGCACTGAACTCTCTGTCCTCTCCTCGCCGGCCTGCTCTCCCTGCCTTTCTCTTTTCAGTTTTCGTTCCTGGGCCTCCGCGTGACGTTACTTTGCCCTCATGTCCTTCCATGAGTCAGGCGTCCATGCCCCTCAAACCCAGGTTCGCGCGTCAGTCGCCCTCCCCCCCCCCTCACTTTCCCTTTTCCTTACCTCCCTACCTTTTTAACTATTTCCCCATGTGTCCAACAGCTCACTCCCACCTCACTCAGAGGGCCTCGTTATTGGGGGGGGGGGTGGTCTGGGGGTGTGCGCCCTAATTAGAAACACAAACCGAGATGGAAGTGAGACACGAGAAAGGGGGGAATATTGAACGAATAAAAGGAAGCCAAATTAGGGTAATAAAGCAGCCAAGGCAACCATACACTCACATCTGGAGACCAGGAACTGACCCACAGTAACATGCACGGTGATGCACTCAGCCGGCCAACCGAGCACCCAATTATCTGCATCGCAGAGGAAGTAAAATGATCATCGACTTTCCCAAAGCTTTGCCTCGGGCCCCTGAAGAATCATGGAATCAGTACCACTAATACAAGAAATATCAGTACTGTTACTAATATGTTTGGCTAATACCACAGACAAAAGCACCAACATGAGTCGCAATGACAGTAACTCCTGAAGTCTGTGCTTTTCCCATGGGTAAGGGTCTGGGTAAGGAAATCACGGTAACCTCCACGTTACACAATGACTAATTCCTGTAAGCTGAGATCCAGTCCATCAGAGAAAACAAAGAGGGAAAATGTTCTGGCAGCCTTCAGAGCGAGAGCGGCCTTAGCGGCCTGTCCTCACATCACCTCTGTAGCGTCTCTCCCACATTTTTGCCCTTACATTCTTACCCTGAGACCACAAAAACAAAACCCTCGTGCACGCAGACCCGCAGGAGTACGGTGCGTGTGCGAACGCACGTGCGATACATACAAACACGCCGTGAGCGATTCAGTCCGGGCTGTAATGTAACACAGGAACAGGTCTGCCGGTCAGTCCTCTGGCCACCGCTTTCTTCCTTGGGGCTGCCATCCTAGATCTTAATCAAACACATATGGGCTTGATCCGTGCCAGGAAAGCGAACTCCGCAAGAATGACTAGATGTTTGTTCCGTGTTTCTGGGCTAGAGGAATGTGAGCCCCGGCTTATGCGGCAAGTCGTAGGAAGCAGATTCTCATATGATCGTGCAGAAATTCAGGGAGATGTGCAAAAGTACAAGTCTGAAGGACATCTTCACAGGTTAAGGCGTTGGGGCTGGCGGAGGGGGGGGGGGGGTTAACAGACTGAGCCTATGGCTTAGCTGGCCAATTTGTGCATGAGCACAAAGGATGTGCAGCCGTGACGAATCTAATTTAAAGGTCGGTGGGCTGCAATCTATGGCGAATTCTAATTTGAATCCAGGACTGTAAGATGCATGTTTTCCGGCTGACCTTTCAGGTGACGAGGTTTCGGTAATTTTACTGTGAAGGAAGCGGAAAGATAGCTGACAGGAGGTCGGGCCAAGATAACGGTGGCAGACATTTGAATAGAAGAGGGAAAGGGAGACTGCGGGTGGGAAGGGAAGCGAGGAGGAGAAGGAAGATGTGATGAAGGATCAAACGCTAGGGAGGAGGTGCAGAGAGCGAAAAAGAAGTAAAAGTGAGGGAGAGGTCAAGGGGGGAGGGAGGATTCCTGGTGAGAGGCAGAGAAGCCAAATGGAAGGAAATGTGTGTGTGTGTGTGTGCGAGCGGGTGTGTGTGTGTGTGTGTGTGTGTCTGTGCATGTGTGTGTGCGTGTGTGTGTCTGTGTGTGTGTGTGTGTGTGTTCTGTCCGTCCCTCTTTTCAGCTTCTCATTTGTGTGTAATAGAGTCATGGGCTCAAAATGTATCATAAGCCACCACGGATGTGCATGTGTGTGTGTGACTGTGTGTGTGTCTGTGTATGAGTGTGTCTGTGCTTGTGTGTGTGTGTGTGTGTGTTTGTGGAGTTTGCATGTTCTCTCCATGTTTGTGTGGCTATGTGTTTGTCTGTAAAGGATGCTCCCCATTAATCTGTACCAGGTGTATACTAGCTACCTATTTAGGGACAAATCTTGCTAACTTGAGGGAGCATTTGTCCGCAGTATTTGTGAAAACTGGGAAAAACAGATGTCCCAGCACCAGGCAGGCGCCGTTTTTACAACCTCACCTGTTCTGTTTAAACTACTGGGGCAAAAATGTTTTTTTTTTTATGGTTTGTGTTGAGGATGGGGATTTTAAATGGCTTTAAACTGGCTGTCCACAGGAAGTCCCCACAATTATAAATATGAGGATGAGTGTGTATGGAGGGGGCTGTATGAGTTTCCCAAATGAGGTATCAGTTGCAATCCGGCCGAGCTGACTTGGACTTGGCAAGGGGGGGGGGTGGGCAGACGAAGAGCGGTACTTGGCAGTGGGGCAGTAAATATTTCTGCACACTCAGAAAGAAGGATTATATTCTCGTTTTACATCTGGCCAACTCTCCCTCCTTCCCTCCCACTCCATCTTTGTCATTTTCTTTATAGGCTTTGATCTCTCTATTCCTCTCTTTCTCTCTCATTTTCTCTTTCTCTCCATTAGCGTTGCCCCCCCCCCTATTCTGACTACAAGACAATGCTGTAAAAAATCACCCAAGTTATGGTCACTGATTCCTTGACTCACTCTCTCCCTCCTCTTCTCTTTTACCTCACCCCCCCCGACTCCCCCCAGCCCCAGTAATGTGTTCAAGGAATGTGTCACACAGGCACAAAAGAACAAAAGAGGTAGAGAAGGAGAGAAAGGGAGAGGGAGGTAGAGAGAATGAGGGATAGATGCACGAATGGGGGTGGGCGAGGGCATCTGGGAAGGATAGGTGATTTATTGTGCTTGGTTCACTCTTAAAGTGAGGGCCAGATATTATCCCACAATCTGATACCCTGTCAGACTCCGTCCTGCTGCTGCAGACTGTGTTACAGAGCCACCACCGTGAATAGGTCTCTGTCACCCCACAAAAAAAAGCACAATGAATCATTATCTTTGTTAAACGCGCGTTGCCAGTAACGACGTGTCTGCAGCGCGATACGGCACATAGGGCGGCCCCTTCTCCTGCTGAGACGGCAGCACAGACCTCGGAGGAGCTCCGCTAACAGTCAGCCGGGCGACACACGGAAGTGCCACGCGTGCCCCCCACTCAAACATACACACACACCCCTCCCCAGAGGTCAGTCTGGGTGAATGCAGGGATACACCTGCAGGTTACGGCGGGACATCAGGCGCGGAGTCACTGGGAAAGCGTTGTGCAGGGGGGGGCCACGTGCCTGCTGACCACCAGTATGTGCGCTTGACTTCACTGCTGCTACTTGGGTGTGAATGCAACCCGGGGGGGTGTCAAGGGAGCATTGGGTTTTCATACCGGGAAGAGTTAACGAAAAGTATAGGGTGTCACAGATAAGAAATAGAGAAAGAAAATGGAAAACAGATTGTCGTCTTGATAGGACAGGCTCAGCACTGCTGTTGGCTGGTGTGTGAACAGGAACTTGTGAAGGCACGCAACCATTGTGTAGCAACAGGGGCACTGGCGTGTTTGTGGTGTATTTTGCATCTTTAGCAGGAGTGCGGATGACTGAAATGAAATGTGTCAACTCTGTTGACACCATATTGAGTATACAAACAAGATTTAAGGCTTTGTGCGTTATTACCGCAGCAACTGAGAGGCCGCGGGTACCCTAGAAGTTACAGAGGTGGACTCACAATTGTCTGGTTTAAGCATTTAGGCACGGTCATTAACCTAAGATTCTCCACTGAAATTTTCAGAAATATTACTGGCCAAACGCTGTAGAAAAGTGCGAGAGGACAAAACCTGTCAAGAAAAGCTAAGCAATATAATTTTGCACAAAAACCGCATCATTAAATTAGGGGGAAAACATCTTTTAGTACGACTAAGGCAGCTGTTCTTCTGTAATTAAATGTTAATCATTATACCGTTTGTGTCAGCGTCCTCTCTGCGGACGGTAGCTGCGGTTGCTTCGGTAACGACCCCCCTCATCTCGCGCTTAAGTAAAGGCGACCATCCATCAAAGTTCAATAATTAACGCTCACATCGTGCCGTCGCCATCCATCATCTCCGTCTCTAGTGCTTATTCCTTTATTGCTACCTTGCAGACACCACATCCCCACGATCTCTGCCCCGCCCAGCGCTTATTTTCCTGACAAATTAAAGCTATTCTCTCCTTTCTTGCGTTGGAACAGCAGGATCCCAGAGAAGGGCTGCATCGTTCCTTCATTTTGGTTGCACAACTAAAGAAGATACTTGAGTTAAATTGTATTCGATACATTGCATGTATTTTGCCTGCATATTTATTCTTAGGGAAAAAAACAATTCCCACCGCACGAACAAGTTCATGCCAAAACGCTCTGTTTGTGTGACCTACTGTGCGTTAGGCACTTATCTTATATTTTCTCAGTGCTTCACATAAACAATGTTATTCTAAGACACGCTTCATAAAAATCAGGGTTTCTCCGGGCGCGGTTCATTCGGTTATTGCAATAAAAGCGGCGAAACAAAAAAGGTAATAAAAGTCTAAGGGCGTCTCTACAGCGCACATGTTGCAGGAAAGGTGGGGTGGGTGGGGCCTAAGGCAGTGACTCTTGGCCATTCATTGGTTAGTAGATGGAGGGGGTTGGACGCTGGGAGGGCTTGCCGAAAACGAGATGGGCGTGGCGTCCGGGGTCAAAATTAATGGCTAGTTTCCACTCCATCCTATTCATACCACCGTGACTTGTAACGTGTAGTGACAGACAGAGGAGATAAGGATCACTGTACACAACTAGACTTTAGGCAAAGTGGAGATAACAGCAGCTGACAACCGCTTCAATTGCAAAGAAAAATAGTATAGAGTTACTGAAAAAGATCTCATTGGAGAGGGTGAAATAACGGGACCCGACGGAGAACTTGTGAACAGGATTGCAGAAAGTTTAGTATACTTAGAAGGAAACAGAAAATTAATCGAGCACTTTTATTAATTCTTTAGTATTTCTATTAATTTTCTTTGTGCTGAAGCATGGAACGCAAGATACCTGATTTCTCTGGAACCTGGAAAATGAAAAGTTCGGAGAACTTCGAGGAGATGCTGAAAGCACTGGGTTAGTAATGCTGGTCTGAAAATGCCCAGCAAACGTGTGTAACTCTACCCTATCCTTTTATAATATGCTGCGTTTTCCTTGGTATCTTTTCGGTAAGCAGACGCACAGTCAGCACCGACTTTACCGTCTCCGAGCTGGGGGTTATGATGTCGCATAAAGGAAACGGGGGGGCATATCTCTGTATCCCTACGTGTGATGCGGGGGGGGGCTTTCGTGCAGGTCAGTGATTATGATAATTGTGCAAATGATCTGCGAGGAAGGGCACGTGCTCATAATATTGGCACATTGACTGGAGCAATAATCGACTCTCAGTTTCGGTCTTCAGATCAACATCGCCGCTGATCTTTTTGGTCGGTCTTTTGGTTGATTTCGCGGACAACGCCTGCACAAACTGTTAGTCACACGACAGGGTGTGTATATTGTCTAGTTTATCGGTGTGTGTATGTGCGTCTTATTCGTGCGTCCAGTATTATGTTAGTATCCTTACGTTTATGTCCATGGATGCGTTTATGTTATGGATGTCTCGCTGTTGCACTACGGTCCACAGGTTGCCTGACGTCTCAATTACAGTGAATAACCCGCTTATCCCCCATTAAACTCATGAGGAGCAGAGGTCTGCATAAGGACGGTAGAAGGCGAAAGGCAGAGGGACACCAAAGAAATAGGAACTGGAGGGTAGCATAGACCAAAGGAGAGAGGCATATCAAAGGAGGGAGAGGGACAGATGAAGAGATGAAAGGGTGTAAGGAATGACTGGCCCCAAGTAAAAAGACACAAAGGTGGAGGGTTAGGGTGGGGGTCATTGCTTGGAGGGGGGGGGGGGGGCTAATTTGTGCATGCATTACTAGCTTGAGGTGGTTAATATGTATGTGTCTGGGAGGGGTGGGGGTTGGGGGTATTGCAGAAACTCACGTAGTGACCGAGTGGGATACGGAGCTGTATGTCAGGAATCTCACTACAGGACAGACAAGATGGAGGAGACTAACCAGATTGCAGCTAATTCCTGCCTGTAAGATCTCGTAAGAGCCTGTAAGAGCTCGTGCATGCTGATGTGCATGGATGCACATGCACACGCTGCATATGTGGCTGCATGTCTGTCTTTGCAGGCTCCTCCTGTCAAATCTCTAATTAATGGCTGCTAACTCAAACATTTAGCAACTTTTAATCAATTTGAAAAAGAATAATTTCTTTACAAAGTCCTTCTTTTCTCAGCACTTTCTACAGTTTCAGTCATTGCCTTTGTCGAGGTATTTTACAAACGGGAACGGGGGAGCGGTTTACCCATGGTGCATTGCAAAATTACAGCACACTCTCTCCAGCGACAAACTC